AAAAAAAAAACAAAAAACAAATTAGCTGGGCATGATGGTGCATGCCTGTAGTTCTGGCTACTTAGAAGGCTGAGGCGGAAGGATCACTGGAGCCCTGCAGGTTAATGCAGGGTTGGCCATGAATGTGCCACTGCACTCCAGCCCGGGAGACGGAGTGAGACTCCGATTCAAAAATAAATAGATAGGTAGATAGATAGATAGATAGATAGATAGATAGATAGATAGATAAAAGAATTTGTGTAGAAATTCCATCCATGCCTTTATTTACATCATTGATAGAAATGAAGGCTAGAGACTTCCTTCTAGGCTCTCACAGGACTCCCACTCTGGCAATGGTATTCAGCTGGTTTTAAAGTCTTCTGCCTTAAGGAACTCTCCCTGGGGAAATGTATGAGTCTGAAGGTTGCTTGGAGAGCCTCAAGTCAGAAACCGATTTGTGGTCTAAGTGCTTAATGGCATCAGACACTTATTCCTACAAGAGAAGCGTGTGGTCCAAGGGGTGGCACAGGTCGAATGTGTTGGCCAAGTCCCGCCTCAGCAGAGCTTGCATCCACAGTTGGCAACTTTTCTTTCTCTCAGTCTGTCCTGGGGACTTTCTTTATCTGTGTTAATGTCCTCACTTAGGCTAAAGCCAAACTCTGTTTTCCTCTCTTCTGGCCAGAAAGACTTCCTGTCTTGCAGGTATATGATCTTATCTGTGTTAATATTTTAACTCTGAGTGATTCCCTAAAGCAGGTCCTTGGACAAATGCCCATCCTCCAGGAAAATTGCAGCAGTCTATGGTATGGCAAGAAAGCCCGAGGACTATGTAGTGAATGTTCTGCAAAGAGCACAGAAATCTACTTCATTTACTGCCCTTTATTCCGAGATTGCTTTCTTCTCTTTTGGTGTTTTTAGAAAATGATAATTGAGGGTTGTTTCGTTTTGTTTAATGCCATTACGTGGAAAAATACAAATCTGGCAACCCAGTACCAGTCCCCCAATTTTTGGGCTTGCATTAGTTGCAAGTCTGAGGACCTGGTCTAATTTTGAGAGTTTGCTAGTGCCTCTAGGTGCCTCCTATTGCTGCTCATGTTCTAAGTGCTTATAAATTACCTGCTTCATAATCCGCAGCAGAATCTCTCCAAGGATTGACATCAGGCTTACAGCTCTGGGGTTTACAGTATACCGGTCTGTAGTTTCCTTATTTAAGAAAACTGGGACACTGCCCATTTGCAGTCCTCCGGTATCCCTCCTGTTCTGTCTGATTCCACAGATCCTTCAGGACGGCACCAAATGCAAGGCAGTTCCGTTTGCTCTTCTTCTAATGTTCTTTTCCCTATAGAGTCAGACATGCATATACATGTTGTTTGGGGAATTTGCAGCACATCCAATGAAAGCGTAATTCCCAACTAACAGTCAAATCCTTTTCTTTGGAGCTACCCAGAACACACCTACCCTCTCTTCCATATGACAGCCCTTCAGAGACTTGAAGACAGTGTGTGACTCTCCTGTGAGTTAAGAGCACCGGCTGAGTCAGACAGACCCGAGTGACAAGCCCAGCTTTACTCTCTCTCAGCTGTGAGAGCCAAGGTATGTTACTTCTTTTTGATTTCTCTCTACTTAAGTTCTTTAGCTGGTTTATAAAATGGGGGTAAAAAAATCCCACTTATTTTATTGTGCAGCAAATAACATAATGCATGTAAAGTGCCATAATGTATAACACAGTGCCTGGTACAGTAAGCACTCAGTAAATGCTGGCTATTTCCTTTATTTATAAAGAGCTGGGTGGGCATTTTAAGTGTCAAGGCTGTTGGGGAACAAGGGAATTGGGAGGGGTTCTTCTTCCCCGAATGATCAGGGAAGGCAAAGGACCCTAAAGTAGACCAGGTATTTCTTTAGCCTTAGGTTTTCTGTTTTCAGTTATCTGGCGCCTGTTTGCTAGGGCTAGGGGAGAGGATACTGTTCAAGGATCTAGGAAAAGGCTTGTTTTCAACAGCTGGAAAGCTATTTGTTGACATATTGAACCGTCTCTTGTTTATTCTTATTTTCCCAAGCAGCTAGTCATGCAATCCCCCAAACTCAATTACCTTTTGTGAAGCAGCAGGAGCATGACACCTCTTAGCTGTATTGATCAATGCAGACTGGGTGGGAAGTGAGGGACCTCAGAGATGCTAAGCAGCTATTGCTGGGTTTTTCTTTCCTTAGAAGGTCTCCCTTGTTTGTGTTCCTAGAGACTCTGGCTGAGCATGCAAGAGCCCTCACTCAGTAGCCTCCTTAGAAGCAGGCTGATGAAAATGGTGACAGCGGGCCAGAACTTGGAACCCTGGAGTGACCAGTGCCAGAATGGTTTTCTAACTGTAGCTCTTTGCACACACTGGGTTTTGCAAGCAATTGCATGATGTGAACTCTTAATGCCATTGCAGCTAGAAAAAGTTTGGAAGGAGACACACCCAATTGTGAACAGATAGAGGAATGGGACTTGTGAGGATGGGGGTGGGGCAGTCTCAGCACTTAAGCGTTATCTGTATGGAGTATTTCAAGTTTTTATCCTGAGCATGTATTCCTAGATTACTTATGTATTAGTAAACATAACAGAACATAAATACACGTTAGAGATGCAGGACATCGTTTTAAAAAACAAACCAAAATAGCACAAAATAAAAGCCAGCCATTGGGGACACTTTTCAGAGGTTACTGTTGACCAAGGATCCTGGTAGTGCTACTTAGGCTTGTAGGGGAAGAAAGGTTGCTTGGTGGGGGGAAGTTGGGGATCCCTAGAGAGCATGTAGGGAGAGGAGTGGAATGGGTTAGAGATACAACCTGGGGGAAATGTATCTTTAAAAAAATAGAAAATTTTTTAAAAACATATTTTTTATTTTAAAATTGTGGGGTACAGTTAAGGGTTGGTATACAAATATACATCGTTCAGGCACCCTTGTTGATAAGGGGTGTCCCCCCGTCCCCAGACAGATATTGACTACCGTTAATCTCACCTCCCTTCCCCTCCCTGCCCCCCCATAATTTCCCACCACTGTCAATCCTTTTCTTACAGTATTACGATAGATGTTCAAGGTCCACTTATGAGTGAGAACATGTGATACTCAGATCTTTGTTTCTGTGAGAGATCACTCAGTATTATAAACTCTAGTTTCAGCCGGGCTCGGTGGCTCAGCCTGTAATCCTGCGCCTTTGGGAGGCTGAGGTGAGTGGATTGCCTGAGCCTGCGGGTTCGAGACCTGCCTGGGCAACTTGGCGAGACCTCATCTCTACAATAAATAAAAAAAAAATTAGCCGGGCGTGGTAGCGCGTTCCTGTAGTTCCAGCTACTTGGAAGGCTGAGGCGGAAGGATCGCCAGAGCCCAGCAGGTCGAGGCTGCGGTGGCCGGGAGCAGCCACTGCACTCCAGCCTGGGTGACAGAGTGAGACTCCAACTCAAAAATAAAATAAAATAAACTCCAGTTTCATCCAGGTTGCTGCGAAGTTCATGATTTTGTTCTTTTTTATGGCTGTGTGGTAATGTTAACGGTGACCATACTTGAATGGTAGGATTAAAAGGGATTTTTTATTTTCATTTTCCTTATCTGTATTTTCTCATTTGTCTATAATAGATTATAATACTTGTATGAAAAAGTAATAAGTTAAATTTCTACTTTTTTTGTCTTGCAGGGGTTCTGACAAAAAAATAGAAATTTAACTTATTACTTTTTCATACAAGTATTATAATCTATTATAGACAAATGAGAAAATACAGATAAGGAAAATGAAAATAAAAAATCCCTTTTAATCCTACCATTCAAGTATGGTCACTGTTAATATTTTGGTATATATCTATTCAGACTTTATTTTTTATGCAAAAATCTACATGTTTGTTTTATAAAAATCAGATCACTATGTACTATGTACACACTAGAATATAATTTTTAAAAATTTTATTTTAAGATGTGGGGTACAATTCAGGATTAGGTATACAAATGGTCACTGTACAGGTAAAGTTTGAGTCTCACATTAGTGGCTGCTACAATTGCATCAATCCATTTATTCATGAAATGGATGGTGTTCTAGCATTAGGCATTTAGGTTATTTTTTTAAATGGTTATGTTAGAACATAATCAACAGCACTCTGTAGCTGTGTGACATTGGGAAAGCTAGTTAACCTCTCTGTGCCTCTTGTTTCTCATCTGAAAATGAAGGTGATAATAGTGCCTACCTCATAGGGATGTTGTGAGTATCAAATGAGAGAAAGTGCTTAGCCCAGTGCCCGGCACAGTAAATGTTACTTTTTATTGCTAGGCGTATTAATAATAATAATAATAGTTGTGGTTGTTATGATGCCGTTGTTAATAGAGTGAATTTTCTGTGACTATTTTCTGGATTACGGGAGAGTGAATGGAATTTTTCTCTTTGAGTAGTATACTAGAGTGAGCTCTGGAGTCAGACAGAGCTGTGTGCTTTTGGTCATGTCAATTTACCTGATTGAGGTTCAGTTTCCTTACTTGTAAACTGGTAATTAAAAGGACCTACCTTATAGGATAGCCATAAAGATCAAACGATATAATGCTGGTGAAGCCCTCAGTACCATTCTTGGAATAGTGGAAGAGTTCAAACAAGGTCAGTTATGATTATGATTATTATTACTACAAAGATTCAGTCATTAGTAGTAAGAAAATTTCCTTGTTTTGTGGTGTAGCAGTAGGGGGCAGTTGGCAATGAATAGAACACTTAGAGTTTCCAATCACTTGTCCATTTACAAAGAGAGAAAATGATTTTAGACCCAGACTGACCGGGGCTCACATCTGGGCTTTGCCATTTCCTAGCTCTGTGACCTTGTTCACATAAACTTCCCCAAGCCTGTTTCCCCATTTATAAAACGGGAACAATGTCAGTGCCTATCTTACAGTGGTTGCTGGGAGACCAGGATGATATATTGCATGTGTAGTGCTTAGCCCAAGTGCTCAGTTATTGTCAGTTGCTACTTATGAGGTTTATAACCGCCTGAATACCTCCCATTGCCAAATTCTGCATCCCTATACTTGTGCTACTTGAACTTCACTCGGAGGCTTTGCAGTATCCAGGGCTCAGGGACCAATTCTGCCGCTAGTCCGAGGGTTTAAGTGGTGCTGATTCAAAAAGACTGGAGAACTCTGGCAAACCTTTCTGCTAGTTCTACTCTGACCTTGTGCCCCAGTTCTAGAAAGCAGGCTGTAGCCCTGTTTCTTTGAACAAGCTATCACCTGGTATGCAAGACGGGTGTGTTGTGTTTTTCTTGCCAGCTGTTTGAAATCCATGAATCCCAACTCCGTGGCAGGGACACTGGCTGCCGGATTTCCCTGTGTGTCTCTGACCCTGGGGCAAATTGGCTTAGTTATAATCATGATTGCAGAGCTCTATTAAGGTGTTTCCTCCCAAACCCCATTTTCCCGGCACCTGAATTTCTTTGAACTTTTCTGATGCTGCTCCACTTGATCTCAGTCTCAGTTCCCTTCGCTCACACCCCCTCCCTGTGCTTCCATGACAAACCAGTCGCAGTGCCTATCCCCCAGGACTCCTGTATTTGCCTAGTCGCGGAGGGCATAGGTCTCATTCCCTAACCCAGGACCCTTTTGAGTCTCATCTCTTTAATAGTGTCAATTTCCTCTTCTCTTTGGGACCGCCAGAGGCGGGCAGAGTGGGGTGGGGCATAGGCTGGTGGGACTGTTAGAGGTGACGGGGAAGAGGGGTGGAGTTGCATAGACCAAGTGCTAGAGCGGAGCTTCTGGAGGGCTGTCAAGTGAAAGGCGGCCAGAGGCAAATGTCAGATCCTATATAGAGGCAGGAATCTGGGACCAGAGAGACAGAGCAAGCAGTAGCAAGTCAGGAGCGGTGGGGCGGG